CACGAATTCCCAGAAAACTTAAAAGTTAACCAAACACATCCATAGTTTCAGGGCTGTGAGCAAAGACAAAGCTGACGGAGCCCAAGAGCTCAGCCCACAGCTGTAAATTGGTGTGGTTCTTACAGTGAACACTGCAGTCTTTCCTCTGTATGTTTTACTTAGAAACTGATTTATTGTGAACAACACAAATTTTATTGAAGCACGCTGATCACTACAGTCACAGATCTTTAACAGTCTCTTTATTTTTCTTTCCTTGTTTCGGAGAAAATCTCTACAAAACATCTGCTGATCACAGTTATTGACTGTCTGGTATAATAAATAGCTTTGTTTGAAATTGTGCAGGATGTGTGCGTCATTGTTTCACAGAAAAGCACTATCAAGATGTAGTGATAGCCATATCGGCCAGCAGATGTCACTGTGGAGATGGCTTTCAAATTGTTTTGAAGCCTCTTCACATTCTGGCAAAAATGCTTCGAATGTTTCGCCTGCGTCGTTTGGACTCCTTTTATGGTAAAGTTCCTGGAAGGGAATGTACCAAGTGTAGTAAGGAGGAGGGGTGGAGTTTGGTGAGGTTAAAGAACCTGTTGATTTAAAACATCTGCAGAATTGACGCATTTTTTTAATGTTCCCACTGTTAACTCATTGTTATTATTATATTTGAATGACAAATTGAACATTGTTATTAATTTGTTTAATCCTTAATTGGTATTTAATTACTGTCTCAACAAGTGGGAAGAGCCACTGGCTAATTAATGAGGGGTTGCAACTTCTCTCAGGATTAGTGTTGCCGATTCATGATGGAGAGTGGACCATAGTGTTATGACCCAAGATCATGTGGGTCATATATGCATGTATTTATGTGTGACTCCTCCCACCAGAGGATATGGTTGTGGGTTTTTCTCTCTCCTCCCTCCCATGTGTGTACATGAGATGTTGTTGTTTTTTCTGTTGAGGTTGGGCTAGGGACCTTTTGTTAGTTACTTTGGCATAGCTCACTGCCAAAGTCAATAAACAACTGCATAGCATTTGCAATTGCTCAGAGTTTTGGCTCTTTCTTGGGTGGAGTTGGAGTGGGGTGTCACATTTGTTGTTACCCCCAGGTTACCACTAGCCCAAGGAGGTAACAATATAGTCAGGGACCCTCATTAAAGGGATTTAGCCTGATGCAGAGCTATTTCTATTTAGTTTAGGATTATCTTTAGTGATAACAGAAATGCAATGTTTGGGGTGATCGAATCATTTGGAACGATTATTGTGGAAAAAGAATGCATTTTTTGCAACAGTATAACATGGGCATCTGGTGGCCAAATAAATGTGATTTTAAACTGTTACACTCAAACTGGAATGTTTTCATGTGTCTTGTCTTTTTGTCTAACGTTTTGTGTTGGTTTATAGTCTGGTTTGTATGGAAGGATATTTTATTTTAACCAATCAGTATTTGTACCAGCAGCAAAAGAAGACCAAAACTACACTTCATGTTTAAAAAAAAACCCATAATGAATTCCCTCTTTCTTTGAAACTCGATCTTCCACCATGATGAAATCCCAGTTCCTGCACAGCTCTAACTCTGTGTGCTTCAAGACAGGTTTCTCATCAAAAATCTCTATTTTCTCGCTTATTTGCTTGCTTATTATGCACCTTAAGTATTATAAAATTTGATGCCTTCATTTTCAATTCAGTTTCATTGCTGAGGCTGTGGGTCAGGTGTCTGGGTAAGCAGAGATTGAAGGCTTCTCCCCGTCGCTTTCTGTTGTCTCATTTACTACAAAGCTGGGCCAAAAAGACCCCTGATTGGCTCGTAGGCCTGACAGGTTCAGCCATAAGGCTCTCTCACCTGAGTGGAAACATAAATTCAGATGTGGAATTCACGGTGTAGCCAGCGGCAATGAGAATAAGTACCTTCAAGTCCAAGGGGGCGTGCTCATGAATAAGGTGTCAAAGGAAACTGACATAGATTGGTGCAGCATCCTGGTCTGATACCTGAGGAGTTTGCCCTTGAAGTAAGTGCCACCTGCTGCATGTGAATGATTAAATTGATGCCTCTGAAGTGGAGTAGCATAATATTCCTGTCATACTGTGGGTGATGGTTGCTACATGAACAGCCCACATTGCAGCAGAATCTGTCTGGAATCCGAGTCAGAGGCAGCAGCGAGCACAAAGTGAGACTTAACAAAAGAAAGTGGAAGAAATGAGACTTCTTCAAAATAACTGCAAGTTCTAACACACAAACTGCAGATATAAAGAGAGATACTTTAATATATTTGGCAAATGCAATCAGCAGTCGTCTAACAGAAACAGAGCTGCTCTGAGAATATCTAAGCCTTAATCTTCGCACAGCTGTCATCCACCACCCACCAGCCCTTACACACAGACAATTAGGACAACCTCCCCATACAAACGAACCTGTACCTGGGTTACACTTCCCACTGTGTTGCATAAAAACATCGAAACCATTTCCTTCTGTTTTAAAAGCAGAATCTTTTCCTTTTCTTGCAGGAAAATGAATTCTGCAGTCTGACCACCTTCCAGCAAGGTTGGGGAAGATTTTAGCTGCCAACCAGTTCAGGGACCTCCTTTATCATCTTTGTTGTGTTTTATTATGGCACGTCTTTGCGTCTGAGATGTACTATACAGCCGTGGCTTTAACTTTCTGAATTAAGCAGAAATTGTTTTTAAAAATGAGACCTAGTCAACATTTGAATGAATGCAGGTGATACAGAGCTTTATTTATTTATATATTATTTATAAAGCCAGATGACACTAATATATAGATATATAGATAGATAGATATAGATAGATAGAGATATATAGA